TAGTCCGGAACAAAGATTTGACGGAGAGCAGATCTGTGGCCACTTTCTCTCCATGAGTCTACAAAACCCGTGTTCTCTTTCTGGAGGAATCTGTTGAGCTGACTATAGAAAAAGCAAAAAGGATAAATTCTTGACTACAGTTTGAGACCCTGAATTCAAACCACAGCAAAATCAGGAACAGGGTCTGAAACTGATAATTTTTAAGCACTTAGAAAAAGTGATGACTGCTCAGAGCTAGCAAGAGTTCATAGAGAATAAGTCATTTCCCTATTTGGGAGAGTTTCCACATGAGCAGGCAAGTAACAGCAATGAAGGCAAAACCTTATCCAGGCATCAGACAAGATTTTACAAGATCACCTTAGCAATGAAGTGGGAAATGCATACTGGGCCAATTGCAGGCAAAAGCTGTCTGGGGCTGTGCACCTGCCCCGAAAGCTGTGTCCAGTTTGCTCTGGTGAAGGGGGCCTGAACCAAGCATGTCAAACTCAAAGGCTAACACGGGCCAAATAAACAAGGTTTAAGTTTATGTGGGCCGAAAAAAACCAAAAGCTTCAATTTTCATAGAAACATAGGTTTATTTCCATAGAGATCTGCTGAATACAAAAGGCAGAAATAAATGAGTCATTGTTAACATAAAATAATAGAACATTTTAATAAAAATTAGTATTTATTCTTGAACATTAACTTACCAGACACTGAATAACTGCACAAATTAATAAGCATAACGCAAATAAACCTATTTTTCTTGTTCTTTGAAAGCAGAATATTTCCTGTTGTGCCCACCAAACAAGTCAGTCCAAGACTAATGAATGACATGGCAATTGGCTGCTAAAATATTCGCTGCTAGTATTAGTGGAGAGAAATGGTGTGCCTGCGCTTTTAAGGCATATAAGGGAAATGAATGCAACACGATTATGGTAATCAGTCATTAGCGAACGTTGTAGTTCATTATTAATAATTATGTATCACAGGATAATGTAAAAATTAAGTTACAAAATTTTTATTAAAACATTTCTTACATACCATTATAGTGGCTGGGCTGCAAAAATATTCATTGTGGGGCGCATGCGGCCCAAGGGCTGTGAGTTTGACATGCTTGGCCTGAACTCTCAAGTCAGCAATCCAGGTGCTGGATGGGGATCTGAGCTATCCAGGTATAGGTTGCTAAGAGTATTCTAGCAATGGTTTTTCCAGAGGTTCTCTGAGGATTCATGTGTCAAGATCTCACCTGGTGGCCACTTGGTTAAAGACTTCCACAGAGTCCCTTTCACCTAAAGTCCACATTCCTTACTTGGCATTTCAGATTCCAAGATCTAGCCTCCACCACTTCTCTGTGTTCTGCCAGTCCACCCCGACTCTCTGCCACACATCTGTTGTCTTTGGGACTTGCACATTCAGAAGGCCTCACAGAAGCCTGCTGCTGCATCTCTGCAGGGGGGGCAGTGGGAAGAACACTGGCATTTGGGTAACGGCCTGGGTTCACGCCCAATTCCCCCATGATTAGCTGTTTAAGTGACAACTTCTTCAAGCCTGTTTCCCTATCAATAAAGGTAGGGAGAAAGCCGAAACCGGTTTGGCTCAGTGGATAGAGCATCGGCCTGTGGACTCAAAGGTCCCAGGTTCGATTCCGGTCAAGGGCATGTACCTGGGTTGCGGGCACATCCCCAGTAGGAGATGTGCAGGAGGCGGCTGATCAATGTTTCTAACTCTCTATCTCTCTCCCTTCCTCTCTGTAAAAAAATCAATAAAATATATTTTAAAAAAAAATAAAGGTAGGGAGAAAATGGTCTCCTGACCATTGAACACTTTCTTATTTTGTTAATTCTCACCCGATGATATTTTTCTATTGATTTTTAGAGAGAATGAAAGGAAGGTACAGAGACACAGAGAGAGAAACATCTATGTGAGAGAGACACATCTTCTGGTTGGCTCCTGCACATGCCCCAATCAAGGCCAGGGATGGAGCCTGCAACTGAGGTAGGTGCCCTTGACTAGAATCAAACCTAGGACCCTTCAGTCCACAGGACTATGCTCTATCCACTGAGCCACACCAGCTAGGGCAACTGAACACTTTCTATGTTCTAGTCCTTGTACTTACACAACCTTCTTTAACCATTATAGCTTATGCGGCGTTCTCTTGCACATGGTTGTTATTCTTGTGCTTAAAGTATTCCTTCTCATCTCAGCCTTTCCCCTTGTCCCATTTGATTCACAAGTTCTCAAGAGTAGGACTAGAAGTACCTTCATTTTTATAAAATCCTTCTATACTTTGAGATTTGCACATTAGAAGGTTCTTATGTTCTACCCTTTGGTAACTTGCCCGAGGTCACAGAGGGACCACTTTTGCTTCCCTATTATGCCTGCATGTTGCATAGTTCCCAGCTCAACAAGTAATTTGTTGAATAAATGGAGGAAGCATGGGTTGGTGGTTATGAGCACAGATTCTCTGGGGCAAACTGTCTCTATTAGGTGTGTGACCTTGGAAAACTTACTCAATCTCTCCGAGCCTCAGCTTCTCCATCTGAAAAATAGGGAGAGTAACAGTACCCACTTCGTAGGGTTGTTATGAAAGTTAAATGAGTTCCTGTAATGCAGTTAGAACACTACCTGACAAACAGTAAGGACTATATGAGTTTGTTAGACACAAAACAACAGGTGCTACAGAGTCATTAATGACCAAGTATTAAACTCACAGAAAGTTTGATTTAAAAAAACAAAATACAAGTGGACTGTTGTTGAAATATAGGCCAATGCTCAAATTAAGTTGATTAGAAATAATAAACGTTGAAATAACAGAACACAGAATTCAAATTGAATTCAATCTCCTTTAGTTAATTTGTGACTACTTGTTGGGAAAACAACTGCTTACAACTGGGAATACATCCAACATCTTAAGAGGAATTCAGTCTTGAATCCTTAATATACTCAAAGAAATGCTTTAGGTATGTCTGATGCTATTGACTAGTCCAGTGATGGCAAACCTTTTGAGCTTGGTGTGTCAGCATTTTGAAAAATCCTAACTTAACTCTGGTGCCGTGTCACATATAGAATTTTTTTGATATTTGCAACCATAGTAAAACAAAGACTTATATTTTTGATATTTATTTTATATATTTAAATGCCATTTAACAAAGAAAAATCAACCAAAAAAATGAGTTTGCGTGTCACCTCTGACACATGTGTCATAGGTTCGCCATCACTGGACTAGTCATATGTTGGGTTGAATCGTTTCTGTCAAAAATCAGCAAATCAAGAATAAAAATGCCAAATGAACTTCTTCAAAACCACCCATACCTACTATACATCTTCATCCATCAAGCCTTTGAGAATCCTCTCTGTGAGTGTTGTACAGCATGCAGTGCAAGGCAAGGAAGTGCCTCTGGTTAAAGGACAGTACTACAAATACAGAAAATCCGGACACCACACATTCCTATAAGCCCGTATCTTATTCCCAAACAGTCTTTCAAGTAAAGGAGAGTAAAAAAATAGCTGGTTCAACATTTTATCCTGTATGACTTTGTTTTACTACTTTATTAATGAAAATCTACAGATACAAGTTTTCACAGGACTAAAGACAGTTAAAAGTTTTGATATGTTATAGGGCCTCTGTCAGTTTTTAAGGTTTCCTGTTGTTTCAGGAGGAAAAGGAAGCAGTAAACAAAGGAAGGAAAGGACAACTGCAGTTTGAAGAAAGGATGCTTATGAAAGGAGAAAAAGTTCAAAATTTGAGCTACTGCAGCAAACTAGGAAGACACTGTTAATTTCTATTTAAAGGTACTAAACAAATTGCTTTAGCTTGTTTAATTCAGTTTATATGCATGCAACAGCAAATGAAAATTGTGAGTTGTTTTAGTAAAAATACACCAACAGAAGGAAGATTTCGTTTTCAAGAAAAAAGAAGGTCATCTGTGGGGCCAGGTTTTCATCCACCCTTTAGCCGTGAGCTGATTCTGATTGAGAGAAAGGCTCTGTTTAAATATTTGCCCCTGGAGAGGCAGTGGGTTGGATTATGCCTCCATGCACAGATGTGCTGGCTGGGGAGGCTGCAGTCAGTGGCTGGGACTGTGGGTCAGGGAAGATGATGCCTGACTATACAGCGAAGGGAAATTCACACCATATACCCCTCATGGTGGCAAAAAGGTCCCCTTTTCATGATCTGGTCCTCCCTACCTTCAGCCTCGTCTCTCTCTCCTATGTGCTGGAATGCGGTCTTTTCCATCTCCATGTCTACCCATTCTGCTTTCTCTGCCCATAATGCCCCTAAACTGTGCCTGCCTAAGTCTTGCACATTCTGCAAGCTTTAGGTGTCACCTCCTTCAAGAAGCTTCACTCAACTGCCAGGCGGGAGACATCCCGCCTTTGCACCTAATGCCACAATCACCTGCTACTGTGCACCTCTGGCCACCTACACCGTGCACTATTTGGGGCAGGGGAGAAAATTTAATCAACTGTATTTCCAACCACAGTGCCTGGCCTGGGGGACATGCAGTAAATACCTGTGGGATGTTGAAAGGCGTCAACTCGATGTATAACATTCAAAGACATGGGCAGGAGAATTCATTCTGGACTTAAAACTGACCAAGTTCTTCCATAGAGAAATGACTGAGAATAAAGGCAAAGAAGGTACTGGAGGTCATTTGTGACCAAGAATCCTTTACCTATTAGTACCCCAAGTGATAGAAATCATATATAATATAATGTGTCCATGCATTCTGTGATTACTGTGACTTTTGGGGACCAGGAATACTCTCTGACACTCACAGGGTCATGCCAGAGTCTTACCATGTGGCTAAAGCAGAGTCTGCAAGTACATTAAGTATCTGAAGTCCCCAATACAGCTGTCTGTGAAGCAGCACATTCTAGAAAACAGATTACAGGCCCTGCCCTGATAAACCTCACAGCAAAGATAATGGCCACAAAGCCAGGGGCATTTCTGATGAGTCAAAGTTGACAGGAAAAGCCACTCAGTGGCTAAGAGTCAAGCAGATATTTATAGCAAGCCAAGTAGAAGCTATATACCCTGAAAGAACATTATTCCACACACTATTTAAAAATATATAGGGAGTATATTCCTTCTTTCCCCAAAATAGAAATATTCTCCCCACCCACAACATACTTGCTTTATAAGAAATGGTGGAAAGTGGAATTGCTGCACCAAGGGTATATACTTTTTTCCTAAGAGAAAAGGACACTTTTTTATTTTATTTTATTTTAAAACAACAGCAATTATTGACCTTAAAATTTAAACAATAATTTTTTAACACCATCTAATATCTAGTCAGTGTTAAGATTTCCCCAACCCATGAATATCATTTTACAGTTGATTTGAATCAGGATTCAAATAAGGTCCATACATGATATTTGGTTTCTATGTCTTCAAACCTCCATTGAATCATACAGTTTCCTATTCCTCTTTTTTGCATGCTGCTTATTTGTTAAACAAATTGGCTCACTTGTCCTACAGAATTTATCCCATTTAATATATGACCGAAGCAACCTTGTGGAGTCTTTTTTTTTAAGTTTGATATTTCTGTTATCAAGGTATAATTTGCACTTATATACTTATATACATAGCCCATGGACACAAACAATAGGGTGGTGAAGACCTGATTTGGTGGTGGGTAGGGGCTGAATGGAGGGGAGTAAAGGAGGGGGAATGAGAGACATCTGTAAATACTGTCAACAATTAAAATAAATAAATAAAATAAAAAAGGTATAATTGGCATACAGTAAGTCACATATATTTAAAAGGTATAATTTGGCAAGTTTTGACATATGTATACACCTGTGAAATCAACACCACAATTGAGATAACGAATATAACCATCATCCCCCAAACTTTCCTTGGGCCACTTTGTAGTCCTTCCCTCCTGCACCAGGCTGCTCCCCAACCCCTCAACTACTAATCTGTTTGCCGTCACTGTAGTTTGCAATTTCTAGAAATTTATATAAATGAAACTCATACAGTATATACTCTCTTTTGGTCTGGCTTCTTCTATTCAGCATAATTGAGATTCATCTGTGTTTTTGGTTCATTCTTTTTTATTGCTGAGTACTACTCCGCTGTATGGATACAACACCATCTGTTTTATTTATTCACGTCTTGGTGTGCGCTTGCATTGTTGCCAGTTTGGGGTTATCATAATTAAAGCTGCTCTGAACATTCGTGCACAAGTCTTTGCATGAGCATATGCTTTCATTTTTTGGGGAGGGGGGTAAATAGGTATGGAGCAGCTGAATCTCATGGTAGGTAAATATTTAACTTGTAAGAAATTGCCAAGCTGTTTTCCACAGCCGTTGCACCATTCACTTTCCTACCAGTAGTATATGAGAATTCCATACAGCTAAGTTTTGGGGGAGTCAGAAATTATGTGTGGATTTTTGACTGTGTGTATGTGTGTGTGGGGGGGAGGATCAGTGCCACATAACCCCTTCATTGTTCAGTGGTCAACTGCAGAATGTTTGCTTACCCACTGAATAGCTGTTTTCCACAGCCGTTGCACCATTCACTTTCCTACCAGTAGTATATGAGAATTCCATACAGCTAAGTTTTGGGGGAGTCAGAAATTATGTGTGGATTTTTGACTGTGTGTATGTGTGTGTGGGGGGGAGGATCAGTGCCACATAACCCCTTCATTGTTCAGTGGTCAACTGCAGAATGTTTGCTTACCCACTGAGGAACAGCAGAGGTTCTCAAGGGCACATGCTACCTCTTCATCTGGCTGTGTAGGTAAATGCTTTCTGGGAGCACCTGGAAGGGTGCCCTGACGAAGACACAGGTTCTATAAAGTATTCAGTGTCTTTAGCATTTATGGGCAACATGAGATGGGCAGGGGTATGGGGGGACTCTGAGAAGGATTCCACTGTATGGCCAGGGATATGTCACACGGCTAAGGAGTGTTAACCCTTGGAATATGATGGAAGAAATGTAAGCCACCAGCTATGCTGTGAATGAACAAACCAAGCAGTTTTAATAATGGTGATGATGACAGCAGCCAGCAAAGCCCTAGGAGGCCCAACCCACCAGTATTGGTGTAGGCCCCTGACTGACCTGTTTGGTGCAGGTGGTCTCTGGCCACCTCAAACAAGCGCAGGTGCATGTTGGTGATGGGGTTGAAGGAGCCACAGGCCAGGAGCACCACGGGGATCCGGTTCTTCATCTTGTCAGGCACATCCGCATCTGCTGCAGTGGCCACCCTGCCTAATGGGGACAAAAACTCATGTTAGGGAGTTCACATGAAGATCAATCAATGTCTCTAAACCACATACAGCACATTAGTTCTCACTTATTAGATGACTGAGGAGGTAATAATAATAATAATAGTAATAATAATAACATTTATGGAGGACTCCCCATGGGCCAGGGACTGTGCTAAACACTACATCAAAGTATATCCCTCATCTCACCAAATCCTTTCAACAACCCCCAATGGTTACTTATACGGCACAGGAACCTGAGAAGCCACAGTGCCAGGACTGAAAACCAGAAAGACTGACTTCAGAGACCATGTTCTGCTCATAAGTTCCATACCCTCCCTGGCCTCTGATGGGTCTCCCTGTGGTCAAAAGGAGGTATGTAATGTCATCTTTGATAGTCCAAGTAGAACTCAGGTCCCAGAGTAGACCAGTACTTTTAAAAAAACGTATTTTAAAATAATTTCCAACTTACAAGAAAAGTTGCAAAACTTATGCAAAAAATTCCCATATACCCTTTACTAAGATTCCCCAAATATTAACATCTTACCACATTTGCTTTATCATTCATTCTCTCTTTCTACACACACACACACACACAGACACACACGTATGCATACATATATCTACCTACAAATAATTTTTTTTTCTGAAATGATTGAGAGTAAAGTCTAGACATAATACCTCTTTATTTCTAAATACTTTAACAGCACTTGCCAACTGGTGGTCTGCAGACCACTGGTGGTCTGTGAGTTGCAAAAGGTTGGAGACCGCTGCTTTAGTATATGTTTTCTATGAACAAAGACATTTTCTTATATAACTACAGAGCAATGATTAAAATCAGAAAATGAATATTATTGCAGGGCTATGATCTATTTTACAGATCTTTTTTCATTTTGCCTATCATTCATCTAGGCCCAAGCATTTTGAGAGGGCCTAGCCCACCCTCTTGTCTCTGCATGCTATGGCTTTCAGCAGTGGTGAGGTTAGAGAAAAGCAGAAAACAGCCTGGGCTCCAGGGCAGGCTGGCAGACATGGCTCTCCTACCTCTGAGATGCTGCCTCCTGGAGAGACAGTGAAGAGCTCCACTGGGGTTAGGCCTTGGTTTGACTCCTACTTCTACCTCTTACTGGCTGTGTGATGTAGGGTAAATCACAGTTCCTCTCTGAGCTTCAGTTTACTAAAATTCAAGATGGGGATACTATTACTTACCTTTATATAGTGGTTGTGAGGATAAAGGAACTATATATGTTATGTGTCTGGTACCTAAGAAGTGTTTAATAGATAATCACTGTGGCAGTGGTGATGATAATGACAATGATAAAACAGATGTTGCTGCATGACAGGGGGGAAGCGAAGGAGAAAGGAGGTGGCAGTGGGCTTGTGGGTGGCAGCTGCCAAATGGCTCCCAGTGATCCTCACCTGCCAGTGTTCACCTGTACTCCCCTCACCATGAGTGTGGGCTGGACTTGTAACCTGCTTTTAATGAACAGAATGCAGCAAAGGAGTGGAATTCTACTTCTGAAAGAAGTTACAAAAGAACGCAGACTTCCCTCTTCTGCTTTTTCACTTGCTCACTTGATAAAGTCAGCTGTCCTGTTGTGAGTTGCCTCATGGAGAGACCCATGAGGCAAGCAGCTGAAGGAGACTTCTGATGCCAACAGCAGATAAGGAACTGAATCCTGCCAATAACCATGTGAGTGAATGTGCAAGTGGATCCTTCCCCAGCTGAGTCTTCAGATGAGACTGCAGCCCTGTGTCTTATAAGAGACTCTGAGTCAGAAGACAGAGTTAAGCCACATCTATATTTCTGACATATAGAAATGATGAGATCATAAGTGTGTGTTGTTTTAACCTGCTAAGTTCTGGGGTAACTTGTTATGCAGCAACAGCTAACTAATACAGTGGCCAACAGGAGGAATGCATTCACTTCCTTTCTCACTCCTCTTGCTATGGTGGCCTTGGCTGTAATTCTGCAATTTCAGGGGTAACATGGACAGTTATGTCACTGGAGCCTGGGACCCTCTTTGTATCTAAGAACATTGTTTTAATCTGGCCCCTACTGTCTGCTTCTCCAGGCTTGCATCCAACCACCGCCTGCCTCTTTATATTCTAGGAACAATGAATTACTTGTGAGTGGTTCCTTTGTGAGCTCCTCATGGCTTCCAGCTTCAAGCTTCTGTTCATGCTATTTCAGTTTCCTCCAAATGAAATAACCCAGCACACCCCAATCTGTTAAGACTCAACTCAGGTGATCGATCACATTATTTATGGCTTTAATCACAATTTCTTGACTGCCTGCTAGGTGCCTGTTATCAGTTAGGAATGCATTTGGTTGCAAATTTTAGAAGCCTAACCTCAGTGGCTTAAACAAATAGAGGTTATTTGTTTCTCACATGATGAAAAATCTAGAAGTTGTCAGCTGCTGGCATTGGATCACTGGTTCTCCAACGCCCTGCAATTCTCTCAGCTTTTCCTTCAGATTACAAGATTGCTGCTATAGCTACAACATCATGGGTACAATCAAAGCAAGAAGAAGACTCAAGGTGCTATACTAGTTTGATTGTCCCCCTTAGTCAAGAACACAAGAGCTTTTTCAGAACCTCCCTCCGCCACTATAGATTTTGCTTCTGTCTCACTGGCCAGAACTAGGTCACATGGCCACTCTATAAGGGAGGCTGGAAAAGCAAGTATTTAGCTTTGTAACCTCTCCAGTGAGAATCAGCAAGGTAAAGGGAGCTGGGAACAGGATGTCCACAGTGTCCGCCACAGAGTTGGAGATATAATTGTCAGGGAGCTCTCCTGACACTTAGCTTGGGCTAGCTAATCTCTACCTTCAGCAAATTACATACCACATCAATTGCAGAAACCTGCTCTGTGTCCTTCCCCCTCACCAGACAGTAAGCT